GGAACATAACGAAGTAGAATACTGAGTGTTTCAATGATGAATTCACATCGCTTATGAAATTATCGTCTTGAAGAATAAACATAATAATTATATTACTACATTATTCTCAGGTTATCTCGCAGTATCATTAATTTAGAAGCCAGCTAGGAAGACAGAATATCTATTATACTTCACAGCTAAATGTAACTAAGACTAGGTTTCTATTCTGAAATGTTCCCTTTTGTATCTCCCTAATGCCAGAAGTAGGAAGGGACTAGAGTATAAACAAATGATTGCGGCAAAAGGTTTGGAGGCTTCTGTGAATATTGTTGTAATCTGATTTACTCTTGTGGCGCACTTATTACTATGCAAATAATCATTGTTATGAGTCTCCTTGTGTTTAAAGAGGAACTCTGAATTAAATAAATATATTCACAATAGCCTAATGATAATCCTTTTATTTTAATTTATAAAGCTTGAAAGAAGGCTGGTAATAGGCAAAATAGCTGAGCTCCAGCAGCATAAAGTGGAAAGATATCTTGAGCAAAGATTTTTAAGGCACCCACCATATAAATTCACATGCTTATTTGATATAAAAAGAAATATAGAAGGTTGGCTACATAGTGTGCCACATCTATAAAAATCTGAATATTGAAAAAAGAAAGTTTGGTCTAGGAGGTATTTTTGAGGCACAAGATACACTAAGTAAATTAAAATTTCATTAGCTTTAGTACAACTTAATTAACCCCCCCCCATAAAAAATATACTATAATATTTTTCTCAATGCTAACAAAATATTTTTGTTACATATCAAAATATCACATGATCTCATCCACACTGGATGATCAAAAAAACCTTATCAGGGATGTAATATTCTATACAGCTCAACACATTTCTTGGAGCTGACTGAAAGTACCTCAAGGGCCTGTTGGGGGTGTTTGATATAAAAAATATTCCAAAAATGTATGATTACAATATTGCTAAAAACATCAACAGTATAAAACCTGTGGCTAAGTGCTTAGCACTTCTGCCTAGCGTGCTGCTACACACAGGTTTTATACTGTTGATGTTTTAGCAATATTGGGCAATATATAGGGTCGTTGGTTCGAATCCCAGCCACGGCACTACCTGCCTCGAGTTTGCATGTGCTTCCTGTATTTGTGTGAGCTTCCTCCAGGTACTCCAATTTCCTCGCACATGCCAAAGACATGCTGGTAAGTTAATTGTATCCTGCCTAAATTGGCCCTAATATGTGTACTGTATCTTTTTAACTAGAAGATAGATGGCAGAATTCTGGATCAGACCTCTTACAGTCCTTGAGACTCTTTGTAGCAGAACGCACCCTTAAAGACATCTCATATCTACTCTATACATGTCTTTTTTCGAGGACCTTTTGGTGTTCACTAGCAATTCATGTAATACTTGGAACCATGATTGGGAGATGCAGCTTACAGACTCAAAGTGGGAAACCATTTGTACCTACGTGGTCCAGGATCCGTCCCTTCTGGAAGACAGATGCACACAATTATCCTAGAAGTTACCTCAGATGACATCACTTCTTCCCCTGTCCAATACCTTCTTCGCCTCTATTTCCCAGAGCCCCTACCTTAAGTCTTTTGCATTGTTTATGATAAACACTGCCAGACAATGCATTCCCTGCCACTGGTGTTGGACTAAAGTTCCTACAGTGGGGTAATGGTTTCGCAATATAAACAAAGTGGAAGAAATTGAGGAACTTGTTATCTCTCAGGAAAGACTTTCTAAGTTCTCTAAAGCCTGGTACTGCTGGTCACACTACAAAACAACCAAGACATACACAGATAGATATTAAGTAATCTATTCAAACTACACTCAATTTTGTATTGCTTAGCTCCATTTTCTTTTTTTCCATGGAGAGGAGGAATGATGCCATTGACTTATCCCTTCTACCCCTGTTATTTCTGTGTCTCTACCTTCCTTCCTCTCACCTCCCCCTCCACCTTTTTTTTCATTCTCTTCTTTTTCTCTATTTGCAAGGCCGCTTTTAATTAATCTATGTACCATTCTTCAGAATGGCCTCAGCCTTCACATAACTAATACTGATCCTGTCCAGGATTTCTTTGTATGGGGTTAATGTTGCCCCCTTTTTTTTCTTCTTTCTTTATAGTACATTTATGATTCACATGATTGTACTCTTTTGTGTTGCAAAATTTCTTCATATACATGCTAAGTTAAGCTACTTGTAAACATGTTCTACTGTTAAATTCAATTGTTTGTTGTTTTGTATGCACGTGATTTCCGACACCTTGACAATGTATACATTGCTTTGTATTGTGCCTTTCAATAAAACCTTTATGAAATACAAAAAAATATGTGTACTGTATGTATGAATGTGAAATAGGGACCTTAGGTTGTAAGAACCTTGAGGGCAGGGACTGATGTGAATGTACAATATATATGTAAAGCAGTGTATAAATTGACACACTATATAAGTACCTGTAATAAATAATATTAAAATAAATAAAATGAATATACGTGATCCAGGAGTTTAGCACTCCTCCACACTGTCTGCCATACTAATGTTACAGAATAAAGATTTTTAGCGATGGACCTCGTTCAAAGTCCTCAGATGACAATCCTCAGAAATGACAGACTCTGAATATGTTTCACAGCAAACATTGCTTCTCTGGAAATTTAGTGTGAAGAAATCTACAATAAGCATATCATATTTAGAATTTAAGTCTCATTAATATTCCTTACATTCCATTTCATAAAGTCAAAACACCAAACCAATAATAACACACTTCCTTACAGGAGGGTTCCTGTCCCTGACTGTACATTTACCATTTCCCTTATTTAAAAAGGTTACCTCACCCAAGATGGCCACCAAAGTGTCTTGAAAGTTGTGTGTCCAATCAAACCACTTTTTCTCTCTAGGCACTTTACGGAACCACTAAGGGATGATCAACATGACAGGTTCCTGCTTTCAAGGATGCCTGTGGGTTCAGGTATGAAGTCACCACCTCCATTAACATACATGGCTAGGAATCCTAAGGGATGGGGATTGCTAAAAAAAAAATTGTGCAGGGTTGCCCCTCATAATTCACACCAGGCCCTTCAGGTCTGGGAGTTGCAGGATCCCAGTGATGCCATTGACCACACATGGTCATGTGCATATATGGTCAATGACGTCACCCTGGAGATCTCGCTCCTTTGTTTATAACATCTGTCATCCACAAGACCTGTCATTCGGTAGGAGTGAAGTGAAGGGAACAGATGTGTGTCAGTTGGGTTTTTTTCTTTTGTTGGGTTGGTGGATACAAAGTCGTGACAATCTGTAGCATTAGTGATATTTGAAAACCAGGACCTATACAATATTTCCTTTAATTTGGTGATATAAAGACAGTGTATTAACTATTTTCTCTATAACACATATATTGGTTTTGTGCAGAGCATATATATACACATATATGTAGCACTACCCGATTAGGGGTTGCTGGATGATTTTCGAGCTCCCTGTTGCTCTGGACCCCTCTCTGAAAAAAGCTCAACCCCTGCTGACACCACAGTATACGTTTAACTGGATAAATCACCTTCAAAAAGTAGACTCACACACTGATTGGGATGACCTGGTAAGAAATTTATAGCAACTTCAATGTAGCTTGGTTACACAACATAAACAGAATTGGCATGTGAGTCAGTTACTACTTGTGTCAACTTTAGGCAAAGAAAGGAAACAACACTTATCACAACATCTTAGTTAGTGTTGGCAGGCCTGCTTTTCAGATACTAACCAAATACCTTCAACCTGAGGTGGCTTTACAGTCCCCAGTGAGCAGCAGAAACTATCAAACAGGTAGACTAGCTCACTCTGGGTCCTCAGGACCTGGTGGCAAGGACATAGCTTGAAATAAATAAAAAAAGCTCTTTTCCCCAAAACAACCAATGTTCTTTAAAGGCAGTGAAGAGTCTCCTAGGAGCGGGATGGGGCCCAGTTGATGCACAGTGAGAAGAAGTGTGAATTATGGTTCTCTGAGGAACAATGCAATAAAGGAAGGGAAAAACAGCACTCCCCTTGGAAGCAGCAATTGACCGATGTAATGTTCCTTTAAAGCACTAGTCACTAGTAAATATATAGTAACAAGTGGTTAAACTGGCAAAAGTGATTGTTGGCACAGGGCAACTCCTCTCTGGACTGCAAGACTATTGGCACAAAAGTGAATAAAGCGAATTGATGATAGTGGTGACACAGCGGTGGTTTGACCTATGGACTGACTGTCCTGCTATCAGCTCTGATGATAAGGCTGTTAAGTGTGGTCAAACGATAGCAGCTGAAGGAACTAGGCCGAAACTTCTAATAACTATGTGCAATGTCTGCAACTCTGTGCAGGAGAACAGCAAAGGTGGAGCAGGTGTCAGTGTTCCCTGTCCCTTGGTAATGCTTGGGACTCTCTCTGGCGAATTCTGGCAGTCTTTCTCTTTCCTTCAATAAGGCCGCCACACACTCTCCGGTCCCACCTGCAGCATTCCATCCAGTCACCTGCTAACCGATTAGCTTCCTCCACGATGTGGCAAGGTCAGCGATTAGCAGACTCTCCTTGCCTCCTTTCTCTCTCTCCTTCAAAGGCCTGGTCCGGTCATCCCGCAGTCAGCACACTCCTCTCTCCAGATCTCTCCCCTCTCACTTCCTATCTCATCTCCCGGGCTTTCACATATATATGCCTCTGCCCACACGCCAGCTCCTCTGGGAAATGTAGGTTTTTTTAACTACACTGCTCCTTAGTAAAGTCCTGTGGTTCAGCATGTAAGGTCCATGGGGCTTCTCTATAAATTGTCAATGCCAATGTTCTTCAGGACACTGCCAGCTTGTGTTGGTTTTAACATCCTGCATCAACACTTGTAGCAGGGTGTTACATATACAGTACATACTGTGTATATACCGTATTTTTCGCTCCATAAGACGCACCTGACCATAAGACTCACCTAGGTTTTAGAGGCAAAAAACAAGAAAAAAAAATATTCTGAACCAATGGACTGCAGACACAGTACAGGGGATGACCAGAGACTGCGGACACAATACAGGAGATGACCAGAGACTGCAGACATAGTACAGGAGATGACCAGAGACTGCTGACACAGTACAGGGGATGACCAGAGACTGCAGACAGTGCAGGGAATGACCAGAGACTGCAGACAGTACAGGAGATGACCAGAGACTGCAGACAGTGCAGGGAATGACCAGAAACTGTAGACAGTGCAGGGAATGACCAGAGACTGCAGACAGTGCAGGGAATGACCAGAGACTGTAGACAGTGCAAGGAATGACCAGAGACTGCAGACAGTGCAGGGAATGACCAGAGACTGCTGACCTTTGGGGAGGGAGGGGGAGCGGGTACCTGAATTTGACAGGTACCCGCTCCCACTTCCACGGAGTTGTCCTTCGCTCTTCTTCCCGGGCCGGCTTCTGTGACAGCCGGGTGCCCACTGCGCATGCGCGAGAAGCGCTGCGCTTTGTGAATGGCGCGGTGCCTTCTGGGACCTGTCATGTGTCCCAGAGGACACCGGATCATTCACAAAGTGCAGCACATGCGCAGTGGGCACCCGGCTGTCACAGAAGCCAGCGCGGGAAGACTGTGCAGCGCTGGAGCGAGGAACAGGTAAGGCCCTGCAGGAGAGAACAATTGAGCGGCCGGCCCGGTATTCTGACATGTGGCGGCAGAAATACCGGACCGGCCGCTTTATATTCGCTCCATAAGACGCACTGATATTTTCCCCCCTTTTTTGGGGGGAAAAAAGTGCGTCTTATGGAGCGAAAAATACGGTATATATATTTTGTGACATTATGAAAGGTGAGGTGAGGTGATTGATGGACGCTATGTGTCACCTCACATGCGTTCATATCTTGGAGACTAAGGTGGAGTCCAGTGCGGGATTTCCAGGCCACTTTGGCAGAGTTGGTTCCGGACCCGATTTTGCGGTCCACTGATGACCACCAGAAGGTGGTATAAAGAAAGCAGAACTGGAGGCCCTGAAATATTACCTGTTGGGGAGACAATTCAAATTGGTTACTGATCATGTCCCTCTCAAGTGGATGTGCGATAACAAGGAGAAAAATAGTCGGGTGACAAGGTGGTTTCTTGCGCTACAAGCATTTAATTTCACAGTAGAGTAGAGAGGGAAAACTTCAGGATAATGTAGATGCCCTTTCACGTGTCCATTGCTTGGTTGGGACAGTTGCTCAGCCACAGTGGCTTGAGTAGAGGGGGAGGGATATGTGACATTATGAAAGGCGAGGTGATTGATTGATGCCATGTGTCACCTCGCATGCGTTGCTATCTGGGAGACTAAGGTGGAACCCAGTCCGGGTTTTCCAGGCCACTTTGGCAGAGTTGGTTCTGGACTGGATTTTGCGGTCCACTGATGACCACCAGCAGGTGGTATAAAGAAAGCAGGACTGGAGCAAGAAGTTTCTTTTGGCCTGGGACTCAGGGAGCCATACCTGAGAGAGTTGTGGATGAAAGAGTTTGCTTTGTAGAAGAAAGGAAAAGGTTTGCACACCGTTTTGTTTTGTTGGTGACAGGGAGAAGCCCTTCACCTGTGAGATAGGAATCTCCTCTGTTTAGTTAGTGCCTGGATGGTGAGGGTTTCTTTTCTGTTCTGTTTGTTTATGATGCATGCAACCTTTTAAATAAAACTGGCTATAAGTCAGATTTTTAAGAAAGACCTGCCGTCTGGACTACCTTTTTCCCTGGGAAGGTGATCCTCCACTTGAGCTAACCCCCACTATATACAGTATCTCATAGAAGTGAGTACACCCCATTTTTGTAAATATGGAGGAGTGGAAGAGGACTCCAATGGCAACCTGTGAAGCTCTGGTGAACTCCATGCTCAAGAGGGTTAAGGCAGTGCCGGAAAATAATGGTGGCCATACAAAATATTGACACTTTGGGACCAATTTGGACATTTTCCCTCAGAGGTGTACTCACTTTTGTGGCCAGCGGTTCAGACATTAATGGCTGTGTGTTGAGTTATTTTGAGGGGAACAGCAAATTTGCACTGTTATACAAGCTGTACACTCACTACTTTACATTGTAGCAAAGTGTCATTTCTTCAGTGTTGTCACATGAAAAGATATAATAAAATATTTACAAAAATGTGAGGGGTGGACTCACTTCTTTGAGATACTGTAATATATATATATATATATGTATATATATATATATATATATATATACACATACTTTCACAAATATTGAAGCTAAACTCCAGGACAATGTAGTTCTGTTGTGTGGCAGTGCAAAGGGTATACTGATAGGAGGGAGAAAAGTAACAGAGAGATGAGATAATTTACTACTTCTCTATTCACTGTCCAGTTACAGGATAGGGGCAGGGAGGAGACCTACAACTGTTACAGAACTGCAGAAACAAATAAGGTCTCTTGCCCTGCCATACAGGACTATGTTGCTGGGAACAAATCTTAGGACTGGATGGACAGAAATACAAATCTTTTGGCAAGTAAAACAGCTCACATATATGTTTTACATCTGTTTAAGCTTTAAATATGTTAATACGCACTTTAAAAGCTATACCCATCAGTGATGTCTCTACCAGAGTCATTAGTGTGTATATTTACCTATAATATGCTATAATGGGCTATGATGCTGAAGGACAGAGATTTGTGGCTGACACTGCCTTGGTTGCATTACCTTAACGTCCATGAAGATTCGATTTGCAGTAATATTTTTCTGGATTGTAAAAGCATGTTCTTGTAAATGACTGCAAAGTAAGTGATCACAGAAGAGACCATTGTACATAAACATTTCTTTGCCTGCTGCACCCAGGGGCTCATAAGCTGTGCAGTTACTGGCGGTGGATATTGCACACAGTAGTGTAGTGAAGGACACACAACCCATTCTGTCTCGTCTGCTTTTATGATTTATATCTCAATTAGTAATAAACCTCTTGTGAAGTTATACTGGGAGAATTCCCTGTTGGGCCTCACTTTGTCTACAGTGATTTGCAGTTTATAACCATTTAGGCTGGTTAACAGTGAGAAACTTCTTTTACTGGCATTCCCAAGGAATGTGAGAAACGTGGTGGTGATATAGTCCAATACTGTCCTCCTGAGAAACAGAAATTTTACTTCTGGGTGGACTGATACTTACTGAGTTATCTTGGTCCTATTGATAATGGAGAGAGAGAATATTGCAATTTGCTCTATGCTTTACTCTGCAGTATGGTCCATTCATAAAATGCACGCTGCAGGAAGGATCATGTCAAGTGACCAGGTGTCACACTTGAACCTAACGTAGGTGGTCAGTCACTATAGCTTGCTTCTATGTTTTTCACCTATAGCAGTCGCCTTTCCCATAAGGGCTCATGTACACTGCAGCTGCTAAACTGAAGTTTAGAAGCAGTTGTGCGGTTTTTTTTCAGCAGCCCCTGAACTCTCCTTTATGTTTTCCTATGTGTCCATGTACACATAATTGTTTACAGTAGTTTACAGGCAGTTGAGGTTCCAGGCATTTTTTTGAAAGCACAAAAATCGCGTTCAGGAGTTGAGTTTATCGGCGTTTCAAACGCCAAACACTTATAACCGTGTGTAAATGCTTGTAAACGCATTTATGCGTGTTTGCGTTTAGACGCATTTTTTTTGGCCTGGTCCATATCCAGATGCTGTCCATTGCCTTTTTTCTTCATCAAAAATGCATGCACAGCATTTTCCATGTATTCAAATGGACCTGGTACACCAGTGCATACAGTTCCAGGTTTCGTGTGCAGGAAAAAATGGTAGAACGTGCTGCATTATTTCTGCACAGAACTGTACTGGAACACATCAAAACACAGCAAAAAAGCACAAGGAGTGTTGTGTGCTCTCCAGAATGCCTCCGGAGGCATTACAGGCATTACAGCACTATGTAGCTCCTCCCACAGTGCCAAGCATGTTTCATGAGCCACTTTTGCTACACCCATCAGAAAATACTGCCCTCTCTCTGCTTCTGCTCTCTCTATATCTCATAAAATGTCTCAAATAGTTAATTATTTACTATTTTTCAGTGCATTCTGGGCATTTGGGAGGGTCTCCTGGGTTATCTTTTAAAAACGCTTCTAAACGCGGTAGTAAATGAGGCTAAACTGATGTTTTTAACCTTCGTTTTTCTAGCAGTCATTTTCAAGCGTTCAGAAATTTTTTTTTCAAACGCCCTGTGTACATGAGCCCTAAGGCAAGCAAGCCTACCGTTACTCGGTTGCCCCCAGGACTTATGCACAATGCTATAGTGCCTGGCCACCACGCTGGGGCAGGAGCGAACTGAGCATAACAAACAGGTACTTGCGGTTGGCAGAAAGGCAGAGTGGTTCAATGACAGTCCAGGTAAAGTAAAGTGTACCAAGATTATGACTGCAAACATTGATACATTACAGGAGGGGGGCAAAACTGAGTTTCCCATTCAAACCTGTTTTTTTTTTACAAGCCTTCAAATTATAAATCCATCTACATTCTCTCTTGTGCTACCTTCTCTTTTTCTATGTGAAGTTCCATCCTTGCCCTCCTCCTTCTCTGAATGTCAGGGCCTGGGGGTGGGACAAGCAAGTGATTGGTTGCTAGGACTGCCGATGTCCTAGCAATCAATCACTTGCTTGCCCCCACATTCAGAGAAGGAGGAAGGGGAAGTCTGGGGACCTCTAAACCTGACGGTGGATGCCGCTGCCACTCAACCCATATTCTCTAATGGACTGACTGCTGTTGCTGAGGCTGTGCGGCGTGCTTATATGCGGCAGCAAGGACTAACAGGGCATTGGGGCAGGGTGCTCTGGTAGGTTCAGACCCCCCTAACACCCCCTTTATTTATGTCCCTACATGGCGGAGAAGACAGTTGGAACTTTAGTTCTGCGTTACATCAACGCCTTTTTCATTTACTAATTTATGACTGGTCAGTGCAGTTTTAAATGTCATAATCAAAACATACATTTATGGAAAAGAAACATTTTTAGGAATTAAATAGTAGTTAACACTTCCTGACCTGACTAAAAACAATAGTTTATGAATATAGACTTAAATTAAAGTGCTCCTGTTATGAGCAGAGAGTATCATTGCTGACATCCTTCCGAAAATGCTAATGGGATGGCTGGCTCTGAAAAGGCAAAGGTGATCAGTGGCAGATCCCATAATTATTTCATACAGATGTACTTTAATAATGTCAATCATATTACCTGATATACAGACAACCACTAGATGGAGCATTACCGTCTCAGTAAATTCAACCCCAATTGAATTCTCGGTTTAAATCAGCTAAGTACATTTTAGGTGCATCATAAAAGAATGCTTAGTGTATCACAGCTGCTTTTCTTTTAGAAGCAGCATCAGCCTCAGTAGAAAAG